AAAACATTGAAACCATTAAAGAAGCGTTGAATGTTCAAAAAGTTGCGCTTCGACTAAAAAGTCACTGAATATGGCAAAAGTTTCTGTCGGCATGCTTCTCATTAAAACAAGGTATAAGCAATTACTAAATGCGCCATTATTTTGGTCTCAAGTAGGTATCACTTTAAGTTTCACGCCTACTTTTTGGATATGACAAACGATAGGTGCATCTTTTTTCAAAAAATTCATGGGCTAAGAATTGTGTCTTGTTTGAAAGTTGTTTATCCAACTGGTGTAGCGACTGTAATGAAACAAATTTTATACCTCAGCCTAAAATTTTGAACGTAGAAGTTACTCGTAAAAATTAAAAGTTAAGATAAACTTTTCACTACAATATAAATTGTTTTTTGACAGTTTCAAGTTCTTCTGTAAAAAAAATGGCAGCAAATTTATTCAAAACTAGTTTAAAGCTTTTTTGGAGGATTTTGCAGGTTTTTTTCGAGTGGAAAAAATAGCTTGTCAACCCTTTTTATTTTTGGGAAACTCTATGATAAGAATTTTTTTCATGGAGTCAGGGATTCTATTGATTTGTATAATTCGAAAAACTACCACAGCGTGACAAACTAATGGTGTACCTAATGCGAAACTACCTTATGAGTTTGAAATTTGATGATTGCTACGAAAAAAAAAATTTAGTTTGAGATTTAAACCCTGAAGCGAGATTTTTCTGCTTGCGACAAATGCTTGAGATTATTACGTTTATTTTTTCAGAAAAGAAATACCGTCGAAGACCAATTTGTCATTTTTATTTGATTTAAAAACCAAAAAATAACATTAAGTAGCAGCGAAACAGAAAATTTGGAACAAAAAAAATTATTAGCAGCGATATTTTAAACGGAAATTTTGTGAAATCAGTTCTTGATTATATTGCCGCGTGGTGATTGTGTCGTGTTTCTAATTGCGACGAACTTTCACCTGCCATCAATTGACGTCATACAGACACTAACAAGTTGTGTAGAGATGGTAAATGTAATTTTATAAACACATTATTGCATTGAGCTTGCTCAAATTGTGAACAGCGATGCCCTAAAAGTTCCAGCTGCTTTTATTATCTGAAAAATTTTCAGCAAATTTAAAAAATTACTTAAAAAATTACCTAAATGTGTTGCGGTCAATTTGCGTAAACTATCATCATTTTTTTTTGATAATTCGTCAACGAAATGATTGCTCATAACCCACCAAAAACTTGAAAATTTAAGAATTATTTTCTGGTATTCAACCGCAGATCAACCGTGTTCTATCAAGCTCGGTAGATCATTCATTGAACCCTGAAGTAAAAAGCCACCTTTCAAATATTTAAAAGTTGGGACTCTATTGTTCTTTAGTTTTTTAACCGTATTTTTAATATTTTTCTTTAGTTTTTTAACCGTATTTTTAATGTTTTAAGGACAAAAATAAAGCGCACTTGAAAAAGATTAATATAAAGATGTATGAGGAGAAAGAAAGGAAAAGACGAGTAACACGATTTCCTATTGATACTTTTTTCTGTTATATTGTGACAAATTATCAAAAAAATCCAACAATGACAAATAATTTTAAAATTAATTTAAATTAAAGTAGTCAAAAGTTGCTGAATGCCTTCAATTTACGCAAAATAAGCAGTGAAACTGTTGACAAAGGCCTGAGAAACAAAATATCTAGAAACAACGATTAATCGTACGACAAGGAAAAAAGTTTTTTTTTACGATTATCGTATTTAGTAATTAAAAATACTGTGCTCAAAATATTTGTGACAAGATCTCCACGGAATGATGATTGTCGATTAGTTTTATGTCTGTAACCAGGTAGTACAATTGAACTGAGCTTGAAAAAAGTAATGCCGCAATTGTGAAAGTTGAGAAAGAATCAAAATATGTTTTTTTTAACTTTCCAAGGTTGATTGTTTTAACAATCAATACAAACAGTTTCAAATTGATCCATTTGAAAAAACACTATAACTTGAAAGTTATAGTAAAAGTGCAATTATCAAAAAAATTTGGATGTTTGTTTACATCGACACGTAAAGTTGGTTTTTGAATATGTATATTCTTCAAAAAAATTGAAAATAAATTTTGAAATTGAACCGAAGTTTAGTTGGACATCTATAAAATGCCTTAGTTTGACTTTCTTACTTACATAATTGTAATTATACAGCTGAAGGTTTCGATAAACAAGTAAGTTATCTGTTCATTTGTCGCAAAATCACAGCAAAAACTTTACGTTAAAAAATCTAGAAAATCAATTTGTCCTAATTGTTAGATAGTCGAATGTTCGCCTAATCCAAGCTTCAAACAAAATCTCTACCAAAATTGACAGAACACCTTTTTCAGCGTTTGATCTTTGTGTTTGCTTTTTCAATTATCTGCCTGGTCGTAAAAATCAATCTTGTTTTTGATCATAATTAATTGATCACTTTTTTCTAGAACATGCCAAAAAATCATTCTGAAAACACTATGATAATTTGTAAAAATCCATACATTCATACATGCAATATTTCTCATTCGGGAAGTTTTTGCTAGGTAAATTATCTTTTAGGGTCTTATTAGGTTTTAGGTAATTTATTCATTGTCGACTTATTTTAAACAAACTATGAAACTTTTCACGCAACTTTGCTACACCAATTTGGATAAAAATGTTGTATTTAGACGTTTCGACAAAAAGCCAGGCATAAATAAATAAGCAGTTTACTGCCGCCAGATTTTCAGGTACGCAGACAATATTGCCCGTAAGTTGTTTTTATACAACATGGATTTCCTTTCCAACTCCATCTAATACTCTTATCCAACTCCATCTAATACATCTAATAGACATTCTTCTGTCTGAAAGACAAAAAAATTGAATTGGTTTGTCTAATTAACCAGGGCAGAGAAATTAGAATCGAAGTTTTGGAATAGAAAGGTTTATGCATCGTATCCCTTGCTGTTAAGCGAAACTCTAAGTTCGCCAGACCCTACTTGACTACATTGCGGGTGAGAACTTCCGATCACTTACAAAATCCTAGGAAAGGGGTATTTCAAAATTATAGGGACCTCCTTCCTAGGATTCGCTGTACGTTAGGATCATCTTAAGAAGCCCTTAGGATACGGGAAGCGATACAATACTATTATAGCATAATAAGAATAGCATAACACTGACAAAGCTCATCCATGAAACAAAACATTAATTTCTGCAAAAAAAACGAATCGCTTATGGAATGGTGTTAATGAAAACTCACTTGACTCGTTACAAATTTTTTTGAGAATGAAAAGTGATCAGAATAGACTCCGAGTTTCCTTACAAGTCTAAAAAATGGTTGCATCAGATTTCTTAAGAATTACTTTTTTAATATATTGTAGTATTGCGAAATACTACACACACACTAAAGACCATTGTCTTAATTGTTTTTTTAACGACCCAATTCTAAATTGGAGCGTGCCATTTAAATTAAAGCCTCTTTTCACTAAATCAGATATTGACTGATTTACTCTTATTAGGACTATAAAATCTTGTTTTGAAAATCCACTCCTTTTTAAATACTTGTCCAATTTTTCTCATTTTTTCATGCTCAATATTTTAAAAGGGCGGCCATTATTAATACGTCCCTTTTAACTTAACTTGAAACAAACTGGATAAATATTTAGCAGTCTAGCCGGCTGCACTGAAATTCTCCTTGCTTTGATTAAGCAGAAGTGAACCTGCAATATGATGCATCAGAGAGAGTAATATGAATTTTTAATAAGACAAACTGAAGGCTGCGGTTTTTATCAAAGGGGACTAATAAGTTGAAGATATTTGATTTGAAAAAATCAAATAAAAACTAGTTGAAAATTCCCTTATTAAAAAGGGAGAACAAAGGAGCAGGTGAAACCTGAATAATTAAAGATTGAATCAGCCGCCGGTTTATGCTTATGAGCAAAAGGACTGGCCTGAAATCTTCAGTGTTTCATTTTGCTCAGTCAGCAGCAAGTCATTTCTCTTCAGTCAGATCTTTTAAAAATGAATAATTTTTCTTTTCTGCCCTAACACTAAAATTAATCTAGCCCTTTTCATTTTTAAAAAGAGAATAAATTCTCATCTTAAGTTTGATTTTAAAAATTATAAATCGGGATAATCGAGATACGCACCCCCGAGGAAGTCTGGACTACAAGTACCCAAAGGACTACGGCAAGACGATTCAGACGACCCAACCAGAAGTGCTGACTTGGACAAACATCAAGGGCAACCATACATACTAATCAGCCACCGACCTTAGTTAGAAGATAAAAAATTGATGAACAAAATAAGATTAGCTCAACCTCCCCTCATAGGTATATTTCTTTAAGCTGTTCGATTCGTTTATATAATCTAATAACCCAGTGCTTTGTATCCAACCAACTAATTAATTCATACCTTTTCTAACTATTGTTTCTACTCTACTTTTTGTCAAGACAATTTGACGATCTAAGGTGAGACTTATAATTTAGGATAAAATTACTAAGCATTCAACCAGCAATGATCGCTTAGTAAAACTGGTGCGACCGCAGCAGAGAACTACTCCTTAAAAAATTCTTTTTCCAACAAACTCGAAACAGCTTTTAAAATTCAAAAAAATATATTAATATTAGGATCTGTGAGTATTTGTCAGATTAGTTTCCAACCTCAAAAAGCCAGAGACAATGGGTATCTTTCGATAGAAACACAATTTCATTGTCTTCTACTTGACAGATATTCCTAGTAGGGTTCTTGCGAAATGCATCCCCTGCGCTAGCAGTCGCCCACGATATTCCTCCATCTCGAGGTCTATTAGACGGCTTTCTAACTGACATTAGCTCATGAACTTAACTATTATCTATTATTATAATAATATATAAAATTTCTGAAAGAATCGTTCTCTGCCTAAGTCCGCTAGTAAGATATACCCGTTTTGTCCAGTAATCCACTAAATTTTTGCCGAAACTTCAGTTTAAAGTTATCATCACTAAAATTAACGAAATTCTGTATTAAACTAAAGTGCTCAAAAACTTATTAAATATCTTCATTTATTTTTTCGAGGGGGTTAAGTGGTCATATGTGCGATCTAAGAGTACCCTAAATTGTATGATAAATTGAATTCTTCATCACATTATCTCAAACCATCCACGCTTATTGCTATTTATTCTAATCCTTCATCAATTCTCGAGGCTTATCCTCAACTTTTCTTAAATTCATTTTAATTCTAACCTGCTTAACGTAACTTAAAACTAAATCATCCATCAGTAAAGCTACCAATTACTGAAACTAAGGAAGAAAATAACAAAAACCAAAAAGAAAGGAACGGATTTGAGTGTTTTTTGATAAATCATTAGTTTTTTTTGACACAGTTTAAATATACACCTAATTAACAATAAGATTACGCACTAAAACCAATCTTAAACGTTAACCACATAACACCAAACACCAAGTTTTAGTTTCAGCACAAAAATATCAGGTTTCACAACAAAAGCTAAGTTTAAAACACTGACACATCCACTTTATATTGATAAAATAGGTTTCATATGATAGCATAAGCACTAAAAAATTGATTTTTACCAGCCAAAATTTTTGGTTTCAGTCTAGGTTTCAGTTATAGGGTCAAACGTTTTAGTTAAAATAAGTAAAGTTTCCGGTCAAAATTTTAAGTTTTTGTAAACGGATTCGGGTAAAACAGCAAAAGTTGAACTAGTCAAACCCAAATTTGGATACCATAAGTCAAAAACCTGGTCTTAAATGGTACGTTTTTGTTAGTTTCAGGTTTCAGAACACAAAAATTGAGTTTTTGGTCTCAAAATTGAGCTCCGAACGCCGAATTTTGACTTTCTAAAGAAAACTAACGGTGTTAAAACCCACCAAACCAATTTTAAATTTTGGTTCCTAAGGCTGAAACGTACGTTTCAGAATTGGTGTTTTTGGTTTCAGAACCAAAAATCTTGCTTCCCGAGAAAAATTTTTGTGAAATATTGAAAGATAATAAGAATCTTTAATGCACTAACAAATTTTTAAACTCAAAAAACTTCTAGAAGGTGTTAGTTTGAGCCCTCAAACTTATAGTTTCAGAAAACTAAAATCGTCGTTTTAAGCTAAAATTTTCATCTTTTTGGCAATTTTATTGCTGGAATAGAAATATATTAGAGAGACCAACCTAATTTTTCAATCTCAAAACTCTAAAACCAAGTGGTCAAACCATAGTTTCAGTTCTAGAAATCATAGTTTCAGCCGCAAAAACTTAGGTTTCCGCAAACAAATTTTTGATTTTGAAGTTACAAACCTGTTCAAAATTCCAATTTACACTAGACCAGCTATCAAAAACCAACTTTTTATTTTCATGCACCGAGTTTGAGAGAGTTTAAGAGTTTCAGGTTTGAGTTTTCAAAAACTAAGTTTAAGATATCAAAAGATTCGGTTTTCTCGAATTTTTTTGCAAGATAAAGCGAAAACCAGATATAATAAAGCGTATAGAAAATTTTAAGATTAAAAAAAACTCAACTTAAGCTACCATAGTTTCAGGTTTCAGATTATCGTTTCAGTCAAAAATTTTTCTTTAAATTTTTAACAAAAAAATTAAGTTTTGAACCAATAATAACCAATAAAGGCATATAGTTATATTGTTAACCATACCATAGCATCAACAAAACTTCACTTGAACAAAGTTTTAGGTTTCAGTTAAGGAAGCAGCAAATAAAAAACTTGAAAAACTTAGAAAAAATTTTAGAAAATTTCCTTATCTTTTTATTTCCTTATCTTATTATTAATAACCTTTGTTAATATTCAAAAATTCATAAGAGGTTTTCATTAATCTAAAACAAACTAATCAAATAGTACAATTTAGCTTAAGAAAAGGAAAACATCGTAAAAATTAATGTCAACACATTTTAAAATTGACGTCAGTACAATAAATTTAAAACTCAAATTAGGAAATAAAGTCTCTAACATCATATGGTATATCACTAACACGGAAAAAGATCATATTAGTATACTAGCAAAACAGCCTAACGAAGATAAACACGAATTATACGTCTTCTTTCGACGATATACTCAAGAAATTGACACAATTCTTCAGCAAATAAAAATACCAAATAACATAATTTGTATACCGGAAGAGCAATTAATTGCTTCACTCCCGATTGCTTTTTGATATCATAATATACCAAAGCACAAAACTACTTGCATTTTAATCATTTTTTATTAAAAACACAAAATTTTCCTAAACAAAAACTAAAAATCATAACAAGTTCATAAGAAAAATTTAAATATTTTTTATATTGTTTATCATTCCCTAGATAATTATTTATGTCCCTAAAAGGATGTAAAATGCTATGACCAACTTTTATTAAGTAAATACAACACCATTTAATTTAAAACTAAAAATAAAAAATAAATTCACAAAATTTATTTGGTATATCACCAATATCCAAAAAGATCAAATCACAATTTTGTCCAAACACCCACACAAAAATATTCACGAATTAACCATTCTTTCCAGCAGCAATACCCCAGAGATAACTTCCATCTTAAAAAAGCTTAATCAGCCCCATAGCACTATTGATCTATCTAACAAAAATTCGTATTCATTGAACCCAGCAAACTTCATTGTAACTTAATTACAATTATTTCAGCCCGAACAATTGATCAGTACACAACACATCCAAACCCTTTATATATTGTTAACAAAACATTAAGTGAATTAAACAAAGATGGCAAATGTAGTAGCATACCCAGATTTAGCTCTCGAAAAGTTTACCGGCTTAGACCCGAATGAAGATGCAAGAGATTTTCTTGATATAGTAGAGAAAAAGATAGCATTTTCCCTAGGCACTAGACCAAGAGACGCAGGTGACGAACAAGACGCATATGATAACAGAAAAAGAGCCTTATTTGGTTCAATATTAAGAGGTCCAGCCGCTCAATGGTATCAGGGATTAGCAGCAAACTTACCTTGGAATGAGATAAGAGATCAATTCATAGATAGATTCACTGATGATAAGGATAAGTATAGGAGACGAATAGAAGCAGAAAACATAAAAAGACAACCTGATGAATTCATTAAAAGCTACATACATAGATTAAGCACCGCAGTAGACCGTGGAGGGCCTAATCCAACTTTTAATGATGATCAAAGAACAGCAAAGAAAATGGAATTCTTTGTACGCGGCTTAAGCCCGCCAGGCTTGAAACAAAAGGCTCATCAATTCCTAATCGAGAACCCACCCGCAACATGGCAACAATTAAAAGATCATATTGCAACAAAAGACTTAAGTTTTGCAGTAAGTAGTGAGTTTACTGGAACAGCCTCAAGTAGTGTTGATAATAAATTGGAAATAGAGGGAATAAAGGATCAACTTAAAAAGTTAACAGGACTAATGAAGGATCATAAAATAAACGCAGCTTATAATCCACATGAGCATAGAAACCAACAAAACAACCCAATGTTTTGCAACTGGTGTTGCATGTCAGGCCATACGATAAGACATTGCTTTAAATATAACGATCAAAAGGAGCAAAATTATGACTCGCTTCAATTAAGAGAGAATTCAAACCGAAGTTACCATAACTACAGCAAGAGTAGGTCAAGAGTAGACAACAAATTCATTGACATAAATCCCCAACAAGAATTCAGGCATTTGTCAAACTTCAATGAAAGTTCTCAATCGCGTGACAGGTCGAACAGTAAAAAACCCTTCAACGAAAATAACGATTATCATTCACCTTACCAGATCCACAACTTTAGTGATGATGACATTCCAGGAGACTATACCAATAATGAGTGTGAATTTGTTAATTTAAACTAGATCAGTCTCCGTCCGAACCAAAAATACAATTATATATTAATTTATACCAACATCCCGTCGGAGACAAAAATAAAAATAACGGTCTGGAAACCCAATTTCTACTAGACACTGGAGCAACATGTTCGCTTATTAATTTTGACAGTTATGAACAGTATTGTAAAATACAGCCTCTACAGCTTAATAAATCAAGATCAAACACATTTGCTGTAAATGGAGAAAAACTTAAACTTATAGGTTATACTAATTTTGAATCAACTTTTGGTACAAACACTGATAATCCGGTAAAAATCAAAGCATGGATTTCAGCCGAGAACGGATGCGATCTAAATATATTAGGAATGGATTTCATTTGTCACAACATTAAATCAATAAACTTTCCAAATTTGAACTTAGAATTAAAAAAATACCCAGATATAACAGTTCCTATCATTATTATAAGAAGCAAAAGTTATCCATATCTAAGTTTTTATCAAAATGTACTTCTTGATAAAAATATAACTATTGCACCAAAATCATCCCGCGTAATTTCAATTTCTCCAGCAGGCATAGTTTTCAAAGTAGGAACATCGTTTAGAATTGATAAGTCCTTAGAACAAAAAGGCATCAATGCAAAAAGCACTTATTGTAGGAATGAAATTAAGTCAATGCCTATCGTACTAAAAAATTCCAGAGAATCAAAAGTAGATATAAACAAAGGTGTAATAGGCCAAACGTTTGAAAACATAGAAATAAAATAAACCCGTTTCTTCGTGCTTTAAAACATTATTTTCCTTAAAGCTTTTATAACGCTTAAAATTTTGTGAAGTTTACCTAAAATTTTGTATACTGAGCAGTAAACTTTGTTTAATATTACTAAAAAATTAGATTACGAATATTATCCTACAAATGTACTACAATGAATAGCGGTTCTTTATGACACCCAAAAGGATATGCCAAAATGCATGAACACGGATTTAATTCTTAACCGAGATCGAAAACAGTCAAGTACGCTAACAATTTTGGACCAACCTCATTATCAAATAAAGATAGAGGGATCGGAACCCAATGGCTCAGACAAAAAAAAAGTTTTTCGACTTCAAAGTATTTGCAAAAAAAATTGCAAAAGGCCAGGAGTTTCAAATAATACAGTTTTACGAGTCTATAATAATTTCACTTTCAGGCGGTTTTATTACTGAAAATTCAGTATTACACTTAAGGGAATGTCAAATTACCCTACGTACAATAAC